CACTAGAAAACATCCCCCCAAACTCTCTTCATAATAAAATTCAAATGCAACTCACATAGAATACGAAATCTGAATACTAAATCATTTCAAATTATTCATCCAGTCAACTACAACTCTAAAAAAGTTGCCCGATACCAATCATTTTGATGTGTATGTAGTAGGGCAATTTGGCAACACAAATAGAATGCAATTGCTACTAACTTGAGGTTCATTCAGCATTAGAGTTTATGGTAACCAAAAGTAGACCATAAAACATGTACACAACTACACTCAAAAGATGACAACCTCAACCTTATCATGAGACTAAACTACTTCCTGAAACTGAGACAGAGTATCTTCAATAAATTGAAAGCAAATGGTCTTATACCAATGCAGCGATACAAAAAAGTCAGCCTTGCAAGAAAACTTAACAGGCATTGAAGTCAGTCAAACTCAAATATAAGAAATTTATCAAAACACGATTTCGTCTCTATCCACTAGAATTTCCTTAATAGTTAAGACTGGACATTATAAATGGTAAGGAGACAAACATTGCTAACTAGAGAGAAATAGAGTTAATTACTGGAATAAAGAATGCCAGGACACAAAAATATGGAAAGATTAGCAGAAACATTCAAATCCATATCAATAATTTGTACAGGAAGATAGCTTGGGTGATTACAAACAAATCTCGCACAAAGAGCTCTGCAAGGAATTTGGAGGCCATAGTATGAAAAACAAACCTTTCTTCTTTGTGTGGTTGCAAAGACATGAGCCCCAGCCATATATAAAGAGGTGAAACCACAATTAGCAGGTCTGGAGCATACTTTCTCCTTGCAATGGGTAGAAATGCAAGGAAGAGTAAACCCAGGATGAAACAGAAGTTGAAATTGTTAAATCCATTCCTCAGATAAAATAAAGGGCCTTCAATCCCATATAAGTGGCTCTCACCACCTCCTAGGACATTATATACTATGAGATTAAAAACAGATGATGTCCACCGTTTGTAGTAGTAATAGTCAACAAGCACCGAGAGCACCTGGAAGAATAACATTCTTTAAAGTGTAACAATAACAAACATCAATAATCAAATCAAATCAACAACGCACTTACAAGAAGAACAAGCGAGGTGACTGCCCCAGCTAAAAATGTTTGTTTAAATCTTCTTTGCAGAGAGTAAATTGTAATCGGCAAGAAAGCCAAAATTGAGAACGGCCAGCCAAGAATTACTCCAACTGCTGCAACGGCAACAGCAAAAGCAGGTTTCCCAAGTAAAAATAATCCCGACGAAAGACTCATGGCATACATAGAAAACGAACTCGGCAAGAAACCTGCCAATCATATCCAACACAGCATAGATTGACAAAATGAACACATCAATATCCAAAAAATAAATAAAGAATAATAGAAACAAAAACACAAAATGCTCGCTTACTCGTGCTAGCAAAGAAACAACCACTGGTTAAACATAACATGGCGAGCGCATAGGAAGCAAGTCGTTTACCATACTTCCTTGAAAGTGCTACTACTAGCGTAGCATCAGCAATAACTGAGACGAAACCTAGAAAAAACCTTACTGCATAGAACACTCTCACCTGCACCGCGCATAAACAGAAAAAAGAAACTCTCTCCTTAACAAACCCTCGACAAAAACAGTGAATAATTGAAGTAGCAAAAAGTAAAAATAATATCTTACTTTGTCATCAGGAAACAACCAGGAAGCTGGTAATCCGACTAATTCATGGAAATTAATGTATAGATACGACCTCAGCGCAAACTGAGAACTGCAAAACCAACAACACTTTTAAAATAAAATTTTAATTAAGAAAAGAGATAAAATAATGATATTTCAATCACCTGTACTCCCAGGTTTGGAAACCAGAATTATAGAGCAGAAAATGAAGAGGCTCCCAATAATTGAAAACCTCATCACAATCATGAATGATATTTGATGTAGCACTCAAGTAGCGCAACATTCCTAAAGCAAGTAAGGGTAAGAACCATCCTATTGCTTTTTGTTCTTGCCCTTCCTCTGATCGCTTTCGTTTGTCTTCCTTTTCGTAAGGTTTTGATGGCGAGGAGGACGGTGATGGGAGATCAGACGCTACTCCACGTCTTTGCCGAGTTGGTAATGATAGCGCCATAGAGGAGGGGGCTTTTCCTTTTTCCGGCGTGGTGTGGGAGTGGAGATGAGTGCTTCTAGCTTCACTTTGGTGGCGTGATGTTAGAGTTTTTCTTTTCTTTTTGGTATAAATATAATATGGATTTCTTTTTCAGCTTTTACTTTTTGTTTGCTCCTCTTTCTTCTAGATTATTTTTACTGTTATTGGGCCCGCTTTATTTCTCTATTGCTCAAAATTCAGGCCAGCAAGAAGAGACCAAGGCCCGTGTTTAAGGCTGCTGTCGGCCCATTTTCAAGGCAAACCACCACCAAAAATGCACGGGAGGCCACCATAAGTTAATTTCTCTACCAAAAGTCATGTGTTGATTTGACCATAAAATAATTACCACGCGTTACCTTTTTAGTGTTTTTTTTTCATGGTTCGTCTATTTAAAAAAAAAAGATATTAAATTTTTATTTTTATTTTTATTGTTATTGTTTTAATTTATTAATGTTAAAAATAAAAAATATTATTTTAATTTATTTTTAATTAATTGTTTTTACTAAAAACATTTTAAGATATATTACTTAATTAATTTTTTTTACTAAAAACATTTTAAGATATATTACGAGGTAATTGCATTGATAATAATGGATATCTAACAATAAAAAAAATTATCGTATATAAAAAGAAAAATATAAAGATTAAATATAAGGTTTTGTGAACATAAAATACTAATTTGTATTGTTTTTAATTTTTTAAATAATAAAATAATCCCACCTTTGAACTAATTTTATAAAATCAACCCAAATCAAGGTATCGGCTATATTTAAACCAAACTTATTAATTAACCCATTGAACCGGATCATTCTTATATCTAAACTTTGAACACCAATATCAAATCATTGCAATTCAAGCATGAATAGTAACTTAACAAACTTTTCCCCATTTTTAAACGTAAGATAAATGTCATATGATGAACTATTGTAATTATGAAGTATTTTAATGACGAGTAGCATGGATTGGAAAAGGATAGTATAGTAGATGCACAAAGCTTCCTTTTCTTTTTTGAGAAATTACACAACGAATTTAGCTATTTTCTTTTGCATATTTTATTTTGGTTTCAAGAAAAGAAAAGGAAGAGAGAAAAGCATGAGAAAGAAATCAAGTGTGAGCCTAAAAAATAGAAAATAAAAAAATCGAGAGAGAAATTGGAAAGATATATATATATATATATATATATATAAAATTAGGATGAAAATATAAAACATCTATGAACATCAGTTAAATAATTTTTTTAAGAGTAATTTAGTTATTTTTTATGTTTTAAAAAATAAAAATTAAAAAAAAACTCCCAAACATATTTTAAGTAAGTTTTGTTTTTGAAGATAATTTAATCATTTAATCATATTATAAAATATAAAAAGATTCAACCATTTTCGATCAATAATAATTTGTAAATCTTATAAAATAACTATATTACCTCCATTGATTGATCCAATGTTTTTTTTGCTAAGATTGGTAAAAATATTATTGTACTGTTTTAATTCATAATATTTTGTATATACATTCACAATAAAACAAAATTTGTAAAGATGAAATAGAAAAGAAACTAAGTTTAATTACCAAACTGAAAATAAGTAAAGATTTCAAGGACTAAGAAAGGAAATAATTGGAATTACATACATAAAATATTTTAGTTTGTTGTATAACAATATAACCTACAATCGCTCTCTCTCTCTCTTTTTTTAATTGAAGGGCTCGAGCCTCAAGGGAGACTTCTTGCGAAGTCTTTTACAAAATGTAGGTTAGGATACGAGGAACTTTCACCATCTTCACCTATGTAGATCGAAGAAAACTTGTCCATTCTTTCTTTTCTTATCATGAGAAATGCTTTTCTGCTTTAACAAAAGTTGGATCAAGGATAGTAAATCAATGGAGATAATGGCATAATTGTACCCATACTCCCGACTTTATCACTTCCGACTTTCACTTTTCCATGTGCAAGAAGATTAATTTAAGCTCGACGGATCCAAAAGTAAGTTAGATTCTCAGATCAAGCACCATCACCAAAAATTCTTTATATCATCACTCGCAGTGTATCAAGGAATCAGGCAACAAATAGCCGAATAGAACATATTGCATTTAAAGCATATATATATTGTATTTTGCATTGAACCATAGCTCCTTGAGTGGCCAGAACATATACCACTGGCCTCAAAAGATATTCAAGTGCTGCAAAATTATAATACATGATCATACGATGGGCAACATTGCCCGCTGGCATTAAGTAATATATATATTGGGCAAAATCCATCTGTAGAAGGAAGGAAACGAAAAGAAAACAGCCCGGAACAACCTACTGCGTTTTCTAACCAGTGTTCTGCATGCCGGCAGCAATACCCTTCATGGTCAAGATGAGAGTGTCCTCCAAACCAGGTGCATAGTCACTAGTAGGGTTCAGTTTCACCAATTCATCAGCTGGTTTGCTTGACTCCATTATTTCCTTTGATAGGTGTGGTCGTGGTGTAACGTTGTAGTTTGGATCACGGATCCGTTTCAGGGTGTAAGCCTGGCAAACATTGAGGGTTGTGATGTATGAATCACGCAGCCGCAGTCTTTGTTTCAAGTATGGGTCTCCTTCAAGAAGATCCTTGTGTCCAGCAATCTGAAAAGAAGATGAAAGCATTAGGCTTTTCTACTGCTTTAAATTGACAACTGCTAGTATCTATTCAGGACAAATTTGTGATTGGGTGCAGGACAAATACAGGGGATGTTAATTCTGGTGCGCATTGAGTTCTGGTAGAGATTGATTCAACATTCTACTTTGTATTAGAATAAAGGAATGATTGAAAGGCTCAGTGAACAAACAAATTTGAATGAGATATTAGAAAAATACAGAAAAGGATGGCAAGATGTCCGGTGTTCATCTTTTCTAAATATTCCTTTTAATTTGTCACACACACTGAAAAGATTAAGAAGAAATTTATCCTGGTGACTGACCTGAAGAAGGAGGCTCTTGGTTTCCTTATAGTTGGCCCTCAACTTCTCACCAAATGGCCATAGCTCCTTGGAAACAAGGAGTTTGTCATTCAAGGCAGCTATTCCAGGGTCTCCCTTGGCGAACACCATTTCAACCAAATCAATGGTGACCCTGAAGAAAGGCCATTCATTGTACATCTCTTGCAGCATGTGGAGATTTCTAATGTCCTTCTGAATGACATGTTTAAATGCTGCTCCAAATCCTAGCCATACTGGAAGGTGGAATCTTGTTTGTGTCCAGGCAAAGATCCATGGTATTGCACGTAGAGATTCAATGCCCCCACTAGGTTTTCGCTTAGACGGACGACTTCCAATGTTCATCCTCCCATACTCCAACTCTGGTGTGGCCTACAATCATAACAAAAATAAGCATTATTTATATAGTCTTCAACAACTCAAATGACATTATTAACAACATGGTACATGTTTTACTTACAAGACGGAAATACTCGACAAATCTTGGTTCTTTGAAAACTATAGAACGATACTCCTCTGTAGCAACAACTGCCATTTCATCCATCAGGGCTCGCCATTCTGGTTTTGGTGAGACTGGGGGGTGCATACCATGCTCAAGAGTGGCAGCTGCAAAACGCTGAAGCGTTCTAAAGCACAAGTGCTCCTCTCCAAAAGATTGCTCAATAACTTCACCTTGAACAGTGACACGAAGTGAACCGTGAATGGTGTCCGGTGGCTGAGATAATATAGCAAGATGAGTAGGACCACCTCCTCTTCCAACAGTCCCACCTCGGCCATGGAACATTGTTAGCTTCACACCATATTGCTTAGCTACCTTTATAAGTTCCTCTTGAGCCTTGTACAATTGCCAGGCTGCAGAGAATCTTCCTGCATCTTTACCAGAATCAGAATATCCAATCATGACCTCTTGTTTTCCATTGATATGATCTCTGTACCACTCTATTGAGAAAAGCCGAGACAAAGCAGCAGGGGCGGCTTCTAGATCTGCAAGCTTCTCAAACAGCGGAACAACTCTTAATGGTTGTTTTACATGGCATTCTCGTTGCAGGAGCTCAACAGCAAGCACATCTGATGCTGCAGTTGCCATTGAGATGATATATGCTCCAAAACCATCAGCTGGCAGTTCAGCTATGACATGAAAAGTGTCCAAAACATCAGCAATTTCTTCAGTTTTGGGAAGATCAGGACCAAACAATGGGCGCTTGCCACTAAGTTCGGATAAAAGCCATTGCTGCCTTTGTTCTTCTGACCACTCTCGGTAGGAACCAATTTCCAAGTGCTTGGTAATGGCATCTATGACATCCGTGTGACGATCTGACTCTTGTCTAATATCAAGTCTCACCAATGAAAGTCCAAAGGTGGAGACTTGCCTCAAGAAATCAAGGAGGCTTCCATCAGCAATTGGTCGGTCACCACAAGAGCACAGTGATCTATAACAGAGCTCCAAAGGTTCCAAGAACTACATAAAATTAAGAACCCAATAAGTGCTGTGTTGTTTACATATATAACTACACACAACAAATCCTCAATCCCTTCATGATTGGATTCAGTTAATGGATTCTACATTCATGACCACTATGCATGCAAACAACCAATTTATGGTTCCTGGTATGCCTTGATAATGCACTACAGGATACTCTGACAACACAATCAGTCAACATCATATCAAACTAAAATAAAATGCTCCCTTATCATTTGAAGACAGGTTTGGCTCTTAATAGGCAAGCTGACCATGCAAGGTTTTTATTGATTTTGACCAAAAGTCCAGCTTGGAGAGAATTTCAATAAGTAAGAGATTGAGGTTGGGCACTATGATTAGGTTCTCATAGTCTTCAGTTGTGTGCAACAGATAGACCAGAATACTACACAGAAACCAAAATGTAAACAGGGATGACTACATGATTATACACTTGCAATTAAAAGGATTAAAGAAAGGAAACCAAAGATATGATACCTGCTCAACATTTGTGAAAGTTGCTTCCTCTGGAATTTCAGAGATCCCATGAGATAGCAATTGACGAGAGCGTTCACGTGTCTGATACAGCCTATCCCTCAGTTCGCCAAGAATCACACGATAGGGTTCATTTGGAGGAATCTGTTTCCAAAACTCTGCAGCAAGAATGATGTGAATGATTATGGAATCAATAATATAGCTAATTTATGGTAAAAGACTGCTGTGGAATAAGAATCAAAATTACAGAAATAAGAGAAAGTTCCATTTGATAAATACAAAAGTATGCTTAAGAATTTTAGTAGGATTCCCTTCATTGAG